AGATAAAAAGGCATGTTTAGTGTGTTGCCTCTATTAATTGAATAATTACTTGGAAAGGCATTCAAAAGTGGCATTCAAAATTAATGGGATTTCATTAGTCTTTATTGGTTAGAATTTGGCAATCACTTAGAAATTAATAATATCAATGTTGAGTAGAAATTACCTGCAAGTGCAAGCATTAGTTGGTACTTTGAATTTGGTTTGCCACATATCATGAAAAGGGAGATGCTTCTGGTGCTGTTGGTGCATGTTATATTAGTTTCTAATCATTAATATAGCCATAGTGCTATTAAATATTCTTATTCTTTCATGTTGTGTTATATGATATACATATTTTGTATTGAAATAAAAAATAATAATTATTCCTACATAAAATTGGCTTATTATTACTAGGCCATGGAAGAATAAATTTATCTCATATCAGAAAGAATATAGCACTTTGAACATTATGACTGTCCAAGATAAATTGCATATACTTTAATATTCCAATAGGTTTTGACGTGTCTCAATAAATTCGTCTAACTGTATTTTGAATCACGAATAGAATAAACCTGTTAACGAATAGAATAAAACCTGCAAAACAACGTCAAAGCAATTCGGATCTACCTAGAAAATAATACACATGGAGCCCCAAATATTCACCATTAATTCACCTAAGTTCAAATAAAAAATTAATTATTATGATAGTATTTAATTGAGTTCTTATGTTTAGAAAGTAAATCTAGATCTCTTAATTATAAAAGATTAATGACTTATTTTGGAGTTATTGAATTCTCTCGATGTGTAATGCATCACGTAAATTTACTTGGATATAAGTGATTAGTGTCTTTTACTACAGTAACCAAATACGATCGATGAGTAATACATGTAAATTCGTTTGAACATCTTTTATGAACATTTCAAAAATTTTAACTGAAATGAATTTACTGTAAGATATAGTATAATTTTTTATTTAGAAGAAATATGAGGTAGCCTCCATATCAATGTTTCCATTGCTTGCGCCGTTTTATGTGATTCAATTGTCTTACTGACGCATATTAATTCCTATTATGTTTTCAGGTTACTTCTTACTCAATCTAGGAAAAAAGGAAAAATCATTAATTAATTAGAGCTTTAAAAATACAAATAAAATAATTAAATCATGGCGATTAGTGTAATGAGAGTGACAATGATCCCAATAATATAACTCCATAATAATGTAGAATGGCAGTGGCTGAGAAGTGTATGAGGTTCACTCTTTATTCACTTAGTTGATGCCTAATTAAATGCATTAATCATTGACGGTTTTGACAATGATTGGGCATTTTATTTATTTATTAAGTGTGCATGTCATCATTCATCACCAAATTCAATATAACAGTTCTTATAAAGATTAGAAACAATTTAATGACCTTTCATTTTCACGCCTAATTAATTAGTTCAGTTGCACACTAGCTCACATATGATTGGTAATAGAAGAACTGTTTCTTTTATATTTTATTTTTAATAAATGTATATAGTTCCTATAATTTCTTCTCTAATAATCATTGAAAATAATATCATTGGTTTGAGTCACATAGCTCGTCCAAGAATTCTGAAATTTCCACTTCGTTGGCCAGATTAATTGGCTTTGGCTGCGATTTGATTGTTGGAGCATTTACAAGATTATGAGAGCTTTTGTCGGTAATCTATATATATAGAATTATAGTATGATATTTTTTTATTTTTATTTTTGGGTGCAAATTATAGTATGATATTAGTATCTCATTATTCTATTATTCGAGTAAACTATAAATATAAATAATGATATATCTAGAGTTAAAATTTTATCAAAGTCAAGGTAATTAAATATTGTTCTAATAATTATTACGCACTCATTATTTTAATTGCTCATATACACATTATATATGTTCCATCTCGCACCATTAAAAAGACAGGAAATAAAGAACTTGAATCATTATCAACGCCTTTTNAATGTATTAATTAATATGACACCCGTGTATTTCATGTATACTTACTTTTTAACAAAAATTAAAATAAAGAATGTATATTTTTATTACAAAAATAAACAAAATAAATATACAATAAATATAACTAATTAACAAAGTAACAACCATTTAAAACCACAAATGTTTTACACTCAATTTTACAATAACAATGATAACCATTTAATCACATTAAAAAATTATGTATGTTTAAAAAGAATATTATGTACTATAACTCTATAAACATAATTTTGAATGAATGGTGGAAAATATCACCGGTTGAGTGTACTTTAAAGATCCAGGAATTTTTTAAAATTCTTTCCAAACATAGTATATTTATATTGTAGTTATGGTTTATATACTCCAGTCAGTCCCTCTCATTTATTAATTATGCAAGTATCATATCATATATATTACATGTAATTTGAAATAAGTTTGAAACTCCAATATAAACACTTATAATTGTATAGTTTGCTAATGATTATCTATTCATATAAAAATGTATTTTGAAATAATTCATATAAAAATGTTAGATTCAA